AACACCTAGCATTTTCCCAGATCCAGTGAGAAAATTTCTTCTAGAAGCTGCTAGAAATCAAACTACCTTTTCTGGGACATGCATAAAGTCTGTTCTGGCTGTCTGGAGATGGTTTTATAGGCTTCCTTATCAGCATGCTGCAGAAGTTGTGGGTACCAGGACAGACAGTTCCTTAGCTAATCATTCAAATAGGAGACCCAGGTTACATTAAAATGATGGATCTATAACTGAAAAATACACTTGAAATGTCCTCGGTAGTCTCAGCCTTTCCATCCAGGATGCTCTCATCACAAATCCAGGCTGTATCTTTGAAGGTACAGATGAGGAACTAGGGGGAGGCTCTCGGGGGGGTTGTCAGTTCCCAGAGAGTTCCCAGTCAGTTCCTCACTCTCTGCGTGGTCACATCCATCCTCCCCCTCTAAGGACCCAGTTTGATTACCAGAGCAGCACTATTGACAACTGGAGGGCAGGGGGCGAGCCCCAAGACTCTGCAGTTCACTCACTCTCCCATTCCCTAGCCAGAACTAGAGAGGGAGCCACACCTGGAGTACCCCCTCAGACCGGCACTTGGCAGCCAGACTGTCCACGTCATTTCTGTGACCTCCTCAGTCCACTACAGCTCAGGATGCCACTCAATGGGTCACCATTCAACATGAGGGTGTCCCGCAGGAAGGGGGGGGGAGGGCACAAGGTGAGGGGATCAGAATTGTCTCCAAGAGACAAACACCAAGTCTCACCTGCCTCCACCTCCCAGGTTGTGGCTGCTTAGAGAGATTTATGATGCCGCACACATGGGTCATTCCTGAGATAAAGGTCATAGATCTTGCAGCTGACAGGCCTCCTCAATCAGCACTTCAGGAAAACTTCCCCGGTGATAAATGAGCCGTGCCAAACCCTCGGCAACAGGCTCCTAAAGGTCTCCATCGCACAGGAGTCCTCATTTATCCTGCAGGCGGACGTCCACCCAGGAAGCCAATACCGCCAGAGGAACTTGGCTGAGCGGGGCTAGGTGAGGAAGCCTCGCGGGCTCAGTCCCGCCCCGCGGCCCTGTGGGGCTAATGAGTTCATCAGGCTTTTTGCACCACTGGCATCTGCGCTATCACCTGCAGCCCTGATAGTGTTGACGCAGAAAGCGCTGGGGAGCGTGGGCGTGGAGCACACGTGCCTGATTGCAGACACCTGGCGCACAGATGGGTGCGTGCTTGCGTGTGTGCGCGCGTGCGTGCGTGCGTGCTTGCGTGCGCGTATGCGCGCGCGCGGACTGGCACCTGGAGGCTGGCGCTGGGAGGATAGAGTCACTCAGAGACAGGGCATGGCTGCAAGGGCAAGCGGTAGGGAGGGTCAAAGAGATGGCGAGACCGGGGAGGCCACACGATCCCCGGTGAGGTTCACGCACCCCAGAGAGAGTTGAGGTCAGAGAAGTCATGCTCAGGGCGGAGTAGGAGGAGATTGTACTAGATAGGGCAGAGAAAGGGCCAGCTGGAAAATTTTGACAACGACCTGGAACTTCTTTTTCTGCCCGGGTTTGTGTTAACCGTAGGTGACAAGTCTTGAGGTTATCACTCCCGAATTCCTGCTTCTGTTTGGGACAACTGTTCCTTCCGAGTGCCTGTGTTAGGCTGGTGTCTGACCCTTATAATGGCGACAAGAGGATTGGATTGACTAGAGGCAAAACCGTGAGATGATGGGAAAGAGAGAATGCCAGGGAGATCCCAAGGAAAGAGCATGACAATTTGCAGGAGGCCGGAGGCTGGGGTACCTGCCTGCCTTGGAGGCTCTGGGGCCTGCCTGGGGGACAGATGCTTGATGACGGACCCCAAAGATGTGGGCCTGCCTGGGATCCCAGAAGACAATGGAAAACTGGAGACAAGAGGCACACAGGAATTTTGACACTGGCCAGTCCCACGAGTTGCCTACTCAACTTCGTCTTCCTTCTTTCTCCCAGGTATAGCTCTGAGGTCGCTTGGAGCATCTAGACATGCAGTTTATTCACCAATGCTGACTCCTTTGCAACTGGGAGCACAGCAGGAAATGCAAGTGGTATTTTAGCAGGGAATTTCTAAAAAATATTTCTCTCGAGTCCTCCCTGGTGGCACAGTGGATTAAAGCTGGTTGCAGCCGCTTCAGTGCAAATCGATCCCTGGCCAGGGGTAACCACATGGCGCCCCAGAGCTGTCCTGTCTCGCCTGCTGTTCCCCTCAGCAGTGTACTTTCTTGATCTGTCTGTTCTGCTCCCAACTCTGTCGCTGGTGAATCCTCTCACCACCCCTGCACCTCTGGCCTGTACCCCAGTTCTGTATGTATAAATAAATAAATCTTTAAAAAAAAATTCTTTCCTGTTACAGGTAGTATGCCCCCTCGACCTTCCTGCCCCTCTTTTTCATGCCCTTTAGCAGATATGAAAATAGCCGTGGAGTCTGTCTCTTGTAACATGCTAAGTCTGAGAGGGCAGAAACACAGAAGGCCCTGGGCCATCAGTGACACCAGGGAACTGCTGTGCCTGCCTGGAGCACCAACCGCTAGTCCCGTGGTTATCTGAGCAAAATCACCCACTCTCATCACTGGCTGTCACATGGAGCCAAACATGATCCTGGGTGACAGTGTCTGGGTTGCTGCTGACTCTAGAAATGCGACCAAGCTGCTTAAACTCTTCTAGCCTTAGGAGCCTCCACAGGCCTCCTGGGGAGCCTGGCTCTGCCTCAGACACTAACAGGCCACTTGGAAACTGCCTGTGAACAACAGCCAGCTGCCTTCTGAGTCCAGGCCCCAGTCTCCCCATCTGAAATAGGAGAGCTGGACTTGACAGTGTCTCAACCAGGTTCCCCTTCCAAGGACGTGACGTGCAGCATTGTGGGAGAGCTGCCCAGGCAGCAAGGGAGGGTCCTTGGGGACGCAAACTGCTCGGTGAAAATCACACTGGGCAGACGGAGCTTTATTCTGATTTTGTATTTTAATAGGCTAGCTACTTAGAGTCGAAAGAGTCAATGATTTAAAAATTAAGTCAATACAAAAAAACACAAGATGGCAGATCAGAGGCCTAGAGCAAGGGGTGGGAAGACCACAGGGATTGTGGTGATGGACCGGGGTGCTGTGGTGGTGGGAGAAGTCAAACACCTGAGTGGAGAAGTCAAATACTGTACAAAGATGAGCAATGGTGCAAACAATAAATTAAAAAGTAATAGGTTGGTAGAAATGCCACCAAGTATGATTTCACTCTGGAGCTTCTCCTAGGTAAAGGAAACTGAGCCAGTGGAGCCAAAGGGAGCAAAGGTGTGTGTCCCCACACAAAGCTCATGCACCGGCCATCTGTCCTTCCCCAGCTTTCTTTCACTGGCCAGTCTCCAGCCAGGCTCCTGCCTGCCTTTGCGGGTTGGCCAGTGGTGACCTCCCAGCTGCCACTGTACCCCACGGACTGCACTGGGACTGAAGGGTGACACAGCTCACCCAACAAGCAGCCTTAACGGGAGCGTGGGCAGTATCTCTTCTCGTGAGAGTCGGTGTGGCCTTGGGCCAGTTAATTAACCCCGTGATCCTATGAACTGGGCATCATCCAGAGATGTGAGGGTTAACTGGGATTCATGTGCTCAGCGCGGGGCTTAGCACACTGCAGACACACAATCAGCGCTGGCTACTGTGATGAAAACAACCGCAGCCGAACCCGCCGCTCAGGCTGACTCTGCACTCAACTCTGGGTCAGAAGAGCGAGGCAGCCAACAATACCACTCACTACTCTCACTTCTTCCTTGGGTCTCTCTGGCTTGAGACCCTGTCAATCACCAGGCACGGGGCAGAGCTACTGATATCCTGTAGGGGTCTGGGACAGTACAGTTCTGTTTACCACTGCAGGAGCCTAGGTCCCCGAGCAGCTGATTTGAGAAGTCACAGCTAAGCCAAGCCCCCAGGCCCAAGAACCTGCCACCTCACTCTCCAGACAAGACGTCCTGGCACACTCAAGGGATTCAATGAGAGGAGGGATCTGGAAAAGGGCAGGGTAGGGCAGCCGACAGGAAACTGCTATAGGAATTACAGGAACAGGGCAGCCTACAGGAATTGCTCCCTCCCTCAGAGGTTGCCATCAGATGAAAGGCAAAACTACAAAGCATTTAGCAGAGCCTGGCACAAGTGCGTGCGCAATCACAGCAGCCAATGCCTTTGCAGACACAAGCATTGCTGGTACCGTCAAAATAAGAGGGGGCATCTGTGACCGGAAGAGCAGATTGACAGTTTACTAAGTCACGTGAGCACTTCCCAGCACCCCTGGGTGCCTTCCCCTCACCTTGATGCTTCCCACCTCCTCCAGCCCCTTCCCTCCTCACCTCCTCAGGCTGTAGCAACAGAGGATGAAGGACACAGACTCTGCATTGCGACCAACATCCCGGCTCCTTCCCTCTGCAGCACTGCTACCTTAGGCAAGGTGCCTAACCTCTCTGTGTCTCATGGCTTCATCTGTAAAACGAAGACAACAGAAACTTGGAAGACCGCGGTGAGGATTAAATGTGTTGGCATTAGCACAACACTTAGAAGAGTGCCTCCCATGTATTAGCCACTAAACGCCAGTTATTTTCACTCCAATGTTTTATAAATACCTAACAGTCGCATATGTTTAAGAAAGAAAGTAGGATGTGTATACTTAGGAAAGCATAAACAGAATGCCGAAGAAGTAGCTAGGTCTTGTTACTTCAGAAGCGGTGTTCATTTACAGCTCCCAAGCCCAAGCCCACACCTGCCTCACCATGACCTCTGTGCAGCTGCCCACACTGCCCAACACTGACCGCAGGGACTGGCCTCTCTGGGCCTCAGTGGACTCTGTGCGGGCCTGACACCCCCTGGGGACAGAGGGCAGAGACCAAAGAAACCCAGACCTTAGCCTGCAGATCTTAAAGAGAAAAAAATTTTAATACGAAGACACATAGGGAATAAATGTTTTTGTTTGTTTGTTTGTTTTTACATCTGAGACACAAAGGGCTAAGCAACCGGAATGATAAGACAGAGAAAAGTAATCACGTTCAGCTTTTATTAAATTTAAAGTAACAAAGTATGGGAACATGATTCCTGTTAAAATAACACATTTGAGGAGCTGTTTCTTCAGCCCGCACTGTAACTGATAGGGCATGTGACTAGTGTTATGTTACGAGCCAGCCAGTCCCTGGCATCCAAGTGGAAAGCACAAACTCAAGGCCCTCACCTGCGCCGTATTGTTGGGGTGTCAGGGATCGAGTGTGCCTGCAATGGACAACCGCATGGTCATGGATGCCAACAGAGATGAGCAAGTCAGTGTCTTGGGTTTTCTTTCGAAGAAGGTATTTTACACATCATATACAAATTAAACGAGAAGTCCAACAAGTGTCGCTTTATTGCCACTAAAAAAAGGAAGGGGGATAACTTGTAATCTCCTGCCCAAGGGCAAGAACCTAACACGTGGGCAGTTTGTTTGTCCAGATGCCGCAGTCCCCAAGTTCTGTCTTGGATGATGCGTATCCACAAGTCACCGAACCCCGTGACAAAGGCTGCACAGGGCTATGAGGGCGTGACTGTCCACTACGGAAGAAGCCTCTTCCGTTCCCAAATGTCAGAATCGCTGCTGGCTCTTCTGCTCTGTCAGTAGATACACAGCATAGCTGAACAGGAGGGGCTTAGGACTCTTAAAGTAGTGCAAACACTTAAAAAAAAATACATTCCAACCTCCTTGCTTTTCTAGACAAACAGAGCCTTAACAACTCCAGCTAGCTGGAACAGGAGTTTGCTCAGCCTCCCAACTTGATCCAACAAGGTACAAATAGGGAGCACGGAGGCAATTCAAGATGCACCTGTCCCAACAATAATAAAAATAAAGAATTGTTCAAAACGAGGCTACTGGCAGATACACAAAACAGAGCCTGGAGTGGAGATACTGCTCAAGAAACAAGTTGTAAGTGAACAGTGTGAGCTCATGCAAAGCAAGACTTAACACATTCTGAATGGGGATCATAAAGAGTGACCCCTCTTTTTTGAAGCTGAGAGATAAGATGCTCCCCAAAGGGACATCCCCTGGCACCAAAGGCCTTAAGCTGTTAGAAGCTACAGAAGGACAAGGGGTTGAAGGACACAGGACTGGTCTGCTGGACCCAGGAAAGTCCTGGGATCACGAAGGGGAGGGAGGGCCCCACTCTGGGCGTCTCCACACTCTGCATGCCAGGCTCATTGCCAGGCAGTGAGAGCCAGCAAGAGAAGGGCTAGACAGCCTCACCCCTGCAAAAAGCAGACCCCCCCCAAAGTGGGCAGGCAATAAATATGGATAAGTGCTGAGTCAGACTTAATGATAGTCCCTAAGCAATTCAAGTGTTTTTGTATTTTTTATTTCTGCAATCTCTCTCAAAAATGGTATAGGAAAAAAGACTCCAAGTAAAAGGGACTCGTCTACCTGGAAAATCAGTTCGGGGAAGGTGAAAAACAAAGGGAAGAGAGCAACAAGCATGAATTATGCTTGAGACTGGATGAACGTACAGAACATAACATTTCATTATCATGGACAATAAAAAGCAATTCAAATATCCTGAAAAAATTATCTTATAAAAATATCTACATTAAAATTTTAGCCTGAAAGCTATAGCTTCCGTTTTATAAAAAGGCAATCTTTGAAAGGATCTGGCTCAGGAATATACAAACATTACACAACAGATAATCAAAGTAAGACAGCTCAAAAAAGCATCTTCGGGGATATTGCAACTGGTTTGTCATGAAATAGAATTAAATATTCTTATTGCATAGCAGAAAATGAGGTCACTTTCATGTGCATAATACTGCAACTTTTTAGATGGAGAGATGCCATTGGGTACTTAGGAGAAATAACTTTGGAATTCAGAGTCTGACTTCTTTGTTATCCAAATCAGTATCCAAGTGGCGTCTCAGCTGCTTCTAACCTTGGGCTGCAATTCCATTTCATCGCTGTGATCAGATTGCAGATACACCACTGGCAAAGCTGCATTCACAAGCAGTTGTGGCCACATGAATTAGGGGTGAAGGACGGGGGCCAGGGCAGGGGTTCACCGGCCCTGTAAGCAGCACAGACTTCAAAGTAAGTGTGCTGTGTGCAGGATTGAGAGAGAATCGTACCTAGTAATAAAGAGACGGCGGGTTTGATGGCATCTGTGGGCTTTTTGGTATGACGTATACCAGTGTTCTAGTCCCCGTGAGAAAGGACGCATGACGATGAAAAACACGGGAATGTGGAACCCATGGCAAAAACCCAAAAGCAGAGCACAGCAGGCTAGCGAGCTTTCAGGGGAGGGTCCCTTCTGGGAAAATGACTTACTAACAAGGGCCTTCCCCCCACAAGCATGGAAGTCCAGTTTCGAGGGGTTGGGCAAGGGCCCAGGGAAGTGACCTTTCATGGGAAACCAGGAGCTGTGTAAAGAGCACGCATTGGCCCTCGCCTCGAACTTCCTCCCCACCGCGCACGCTGAAATAAAGTCCTTAACCTTCAGCGAGGGGGGAAGAACATTCCATCGGCTCTGGGTCCAGGTTTGGGCCAGAGACCTGAGGCAGTAATCTCCAGTGCCCTAGGAGACTGCGGCCCCCACATCTGTGCATGTCTTCATTCCTTCAGAGACTTTATTCCAGGTCCACTAAAGCTGGGTATTTTCCAGAAACTACTAAAATGTCTGGGTGTTCCTCAAATGTCCTGCTGAAATAACGCCTCGAGTTGGAAGAAGTGTCCTCTTGGGGGGCATGTTTAGTGCACACAATAAACATACAGTAAGAACACAAAGTACCTGTGTGCTGTCTGCAGAGGCTCGTGGGTTCCTAACATGGGGGCTGAGTGGAGGGACGCAGCTCACTGCAGCATCCACCTGCACGTAGCTGGCTGCGCTGGGGCTCATTAAGCCCCTTGGTCCCCAAGTGGAGCTTGACATCAGAGGAGGTTAGACCCCAGCTCTTGACATTATGAGACTGTCCTCCAGACTTAAGATTTCCCCTCCTTATGCTGAAAACAGCCACATAAACAACAGCTGGCTAACCTCAGAACAGCACTGTTTTAAGTTTCTTTTTTTTTTTAATGCAAATAGAATCCACAGCCCTCATGTCCCCACCCCTGCCTCCAGATTCTTGAAGTTCTGTCAGTAATAATTTCTCTTGTGAATTAATAAAGTTCTCATCAAGCTCTTTTTCTAAAAAGCACATACCCCTGAGAGATCACACATCCAGGGCCTATCACCATCTCCTCCACCACAGGAGAAGCCAGGAAGAGGGGGTGATATGGAGGCTGGAGAGGGGTGACAGGCGCTGTGACAGGGAGAGCACAAGGCGCAGAAGACAAGGATTTCAGAAAGGCTTGACCAGAGTCACAAAGTGCCAAGCCCAGGGCCGGCCCTGAGCAATGTACCCCTTCAAAGTCATCCCTGCCCACCCGAGCCACACACGGAACCATGCCATGCGACGCTCGGGTTTGGGTTATCCTCCAAATGAGCACCCTTCTGAGAGTTGGCCTGGGCAGCAAGTACTTAGGGGACTCTCCTATCCCAGGAAATCCCACAAATAGCATCCTCTCTGAGATGGGTATGGGCAAGGACTAAATCCTTACCACTTTGGTTTGCTGTTTTTGCTTTTCATATCTATCCTTTTTCTCCAGTGTGTTCCTCAGGATTTCTTCGAAGAGCTAGTTTTCTCAGCTGAAGAGGCACAAAATCTCCCAAACCTGCAATGCATGACATGAACAAGCAGTGGCCAGGAGACTGGACAGTTCACCCGCTTCCTGGAGGAAAGCCTGAGGAAGGGAGCCCAGGAGGGGCTGGGGAATTCACCCGTTCGTTCCTAGCTCTAGTACACACAGGGCACAGCGTGGCCGCTAGAACGCCCAGCTCCTCTGCAGGTGGTGCTGGAAGGCAGGCCAGGGTGTGGCATGGTCAGAGGACTGCCCTTCTCACCCATTACTTCTAGGCCTTCCCTGTCCAACTGGACTTCCAGAAGATGCGTTAGTAGTCTCACGGGCCCCATGGGCAAATCCAGAGAGGTTTCTGTGATTTGAATTTTAGCATAGCAGAGGGATCAGTAGTAAGGAAATCCAGTAGAACTGTCATGCCCCCCAACTCAGTGAAACACCATCACACACACACTCTTTCACACACACACACACACGCACACACACACACGATCCAGGTTATCTGTTGTTTCTGTAGAAACACATAAAAATCCCAAAGGTGCTGCCCAGAGCTATGATGAACCCACTGCTCGGGGCAGAGGCCAAAACACCTCAGGGGACAGGAGGTGGGCATCAGTATGTATGCCAGTCACCACCCTGCCAAGATGGAGGAGGGTGCTTCTCGCTCCGCCGCGTGCACTGCCTGCTCTCACAGCAAAGGGTGTCCAGCCGCAGGGTCCTGCTGTTCCGAGTCACAGATGGCACCTCCCTTCCTCCACCTCCTGGCAGTGAGAGTTGGGGGTCACAAGGGCTTGTGAATCACAGCAACACCTATGATGAAAAGGAAAGAAAGTTATCTTAGCTTCTCCAAAGTTACTCAGAGCAACCAGGAGTTGATGAGTCTGAGACACAACAGGCCACAAAGAGAAACAGGCATGATTTGCATCCAAATGTTTATAGAGCCCAGGGACTCAGGTGGCCAGGGCTGGCTGCTCCCCACTCCAACAGCCAGCTTCCAGTAACATTTGAGCCCACAAGCACAGTCACTCAACATCTCCATCGAGATTTCACCCCACATCGTCACAGGGACTAAACTCATACAGGAGTGAGCACGCCCCCCCCCCCCAAACCTCCCATTCAGCTCAACTCTTACCAGATACCCAGAGGCAGCTCCACAGCTCTGCATTAGTTTCACTTTAAGGGAAGTGATGAGTGATTCATGTTACTTTTCAAAACCACTGGAAAGAACAGTGGCTGATGGAAGTGAGAAAAACCGAATCCCGTTCCTAACTGTGCCACCAAGCTGTACTGTGGCTCAGGCAAGTCCGCTGACATCACCAAGCTCAGTCCCGTGCTATTTATCATCTTACTGCCGATGTCGCAGAGCTGTTCCACACAGCAATCCCCCTCTCAGCCATGGGGGATGAGTTCCAAGAAGGCACAAAGTAGCATGCAGCCCTAGGGAGCAGATGCTTTTTCCTATATATACATACCTATGATTGAGCTTAATTTATAATTTGACACAGCAGGAGATTAACAATAACTACTAATAAAGTAGAAAATATATACTGTAGGGAAAGTCACTGAATGTGGTCTCTCTCAAAAATATCTTACTATCCATAGTATTTTTAGACTGTGGCCAACAGGAGTAACTGACACCAGAGAGAGGAGACCTGCAGGACCTGGGTAAACCCCAGACAGGGCTGAATGTGTCACAGCCCAGAGGAACCATACGTAACACCTACTTTTATAAATGCATGTATGACCCTAAAATAATACCGTAATAGACTGAGGCCCTTGAGCAGGTACTACAGGTTTATTTAACAGCCCTTCTACTAAAAACCAGCATTTGATGAGCTCCGTTCCCTAGAATACCTATAGCCAAAAGAGCACGTGACCTAATGTCAGACAACAAACACACTGGAAATCCTAACTGCAAGGCTGACCCTGTCCCCTTTCCTGCCTGAAGAGCTCATGCAAGGCTTCTAATCATCGGGGCTCTCACATGCCAGGCAACCGTGGCACTGAGTGCATCCCACATATCACATTTAACTCTCAAACAGCTCTAAGAAGCTGGGTATAATTTTATTCTCACTTTACAAATGAGAAAACAGGAGTTCAGGCAGATTGACTACTTTGCCCAGCACCGCAGGACTAACAGTTTCAGCTCTGACTCCAACATCGGCTTCCTTGAGCAGTAGCTATTCAACCCTCCAGGACCCAGGGCCATACGGCTGAGCTCACATGGGACCATATATTTTTTATCCACCTTAACCTAACAGTGCTTGTATGTGACAGTGTATGGCAACAACATTTTCTCATGACATTAAAATTACTTCCACTGTATAGATCTTCCACAGTTTAATTATCTCCCACATGCCAAATAGTAAGAATGCGGTCTTTTGCTATTATGATTAACACTGCTGTAAATAACTTTGCCAACAAATCTTTGCATTTCAGGCCATTTCCTTAGATTCTCAGACAGTAAATTTACCCAGTCAGTGAGTATGAACACAAATTGCATGTTTGCTTGACAGTGCTGGTGTTAATAATTAACCATTGAGAACAGAATACTCCAGGACCAACATGCCTATAAGATCTTTCACATTTAGTTGAAAAAAAATCCTAAGTGGGGTGGGAGGAGTGAAATAAACTCACTGCAATTGAAGTCTTGTGTTGACAGAATGTGACACAAACCCCTTGTGAGCTGCAGGGCATGACCTTTTTCTGCACTGAAATCCAAGTGAGAGGAATGAGGGGCCTTTCTAATGCAAAATAACAATAAGAATCTCACAGGAGTGGCATCTCATTACATGAGATAAGGGTTGTGAAATGTTTAGAAGAGTGCCTGGCACATTATAATTGCTCAATAGATAAATGTTTGCTCTGACCCATTTTCTGCAACGCGAGACCCAAGTTCTGGGCTCCATCGTGGCAGTATGTCTGCCTCTCCCTATCCTCTTGGCCTCAGCAGCATAGGTTCTGATCCTGCCACCCAAGTCTCATCAATCCCATCCTACACGCTCCCCAAGGGTAAGTTCCTACAATAGCTTCCAGTCGTTCTCCTCCACCCAGCCTCATCCTTCAGACCTGAGCTGGGTAAATACACAGGGCAGGGCTCAGGAGTCAGAGCTGGGCTTGAACCCTCACTTTGTCTTTTTTAGTTATGTGGCTTTGGACAGGTTAGTTAAATTCTGCAAACTTCAGCTTCATCTTCAGTAAAAGGGCAGGAATAGCATGGAGCTGAGTGGGTGGCCCACTCAAGCAGAGTGAAATGATGTGACCGAATGTGCATTCTGGCTAACGCTGCGCTGAGGGGCGCCTAGCCCTGAGCAGCTTTGGAGACCCACTCCAAGTTGAAACAAACCCCATCTCCTCCAGGAAGTGCTACTCGCTGACGACCGCCAGTTCTCACCTGTCATGTCCTAGTCTGTACGGTGCACCCCACTTAGAACTTGTGTGTACACCATCTCGCATCTCCTGGTCTAAGGACACAGGTCTTGCCTTTGCAATTAAATTTTTTGGAAAGCAAGTACTGTATCTTCCACCTAGGAGCCTGGCACAAAACCAACCAGAAATAGCAAAGAAATTTTAAAACTTCTTATGAAAACTTGGATAGGTCGGGAGTGGCTCCCAGGAACACTGTGTGAAGAAGAATTCTAAGGTTACATGCAGGTTCACTGGGAAAACAAGTGCTAATTTGGGTATCTGTCGTGGGCACAGCATGAAGGAGTGGTGACATGTGACAATTATCTGCCACCCTTGGAAGAGGCATGCAGGCCCAAGTTAAGCATGCCCGCACCCACCCTGCCCGGGGGGGGCCCCCAGTTGGGGGTGGGGGACAGGTTGGGAAGGTGCCCACGGACCTGCGTAGCTCCGTCCCGTGCTCATGTTGGTTGGCAGCAGCGTCCATTTGTCAGTGACAGGATTGTAGTACTCGACCGAAGCCAGGTTGCAGGACCCATCATCCCCTCCAACCACATACAGCAGCCCGTTCACGGCACAGACCCCTGGAAGCAAACAGGAGCCACAGGAGATGTTACAGCAGAAGCACCAAGGATTGAACCGATGTGACAAACCTGGAGAGTGCCTGGGGTTCTCTTCCTCCCCTCCCCGGCTGCAAAACCAAAAACAGAAAAACATATTGACAACAGCTCCCCAGGGACCCCTGGAAGCCCCATTCTAGGTCACCTCTCTGACCACTAGGCAGGCACTGCTCTCACTGCTATTTGGACTCATGGAGGTTTCCTGCCCCCAGCTTATAAATATGCACAGCACAGCGGGTGGGCCCCGGGGAGAGTGCTGTCCACCCAGACCTCCACAGGGTCTGAGCTCCCAAGAGGACAATGCAGGGGCTGCTTCTACTCTGCCTGTAAAGCTTTCCCTGAGACACCCCACTAGCCACACTGGGGAGCTAGTGGTGTGTCTTTGGCCCCTGTACGTGACTGGAGTCTAAACCCACAGTTCCCAGGGACAAGGTACCCCTCCTGCCCAGCTCTCAAAGCTGGCTGACTTAGGGTAAGGTCTCCTGAGGCCAGAATTCAAGAGAAGGCAAATGTAATGTAATACTCTCCATCAAGACTTTAGAAGGCCGCAGTCTAAGTACTGTGTGTTTTCTCAAAATTAGATCAAGGGATGGATGATGTTCCAAAAACTTATTATCAGAGTTGGTGAAAATACTCTCAAATACTGGTGAGTGAGTAAAGTGGACCACCTTCCTGGATGGCATCCAAAAGGAAACAGCTTATAGGGGCATCAGGTTCCAGGAAATAAAAAACCTAACCATTTCTATGGTAAAGCCATCCCTACAGCAAGGGACGGGGAGACAGGACTCTCGGAGAAGGCAATGAGAGATAATCAGGGGCCTGGCTATCCCTGTAAGGCAGGCGACTGGTTTCACACCAAAAATGGCAGGTTCTCCCAGGCAGGCACGGGAAGGCAGGGCCTGACGTCACAGCCTGTCACATCCCCACAGCCCTGCGCTTAACTACCCTCCAGAGTCTTTGGGCAAAGTCTTTGGTAGGGGCCACCCCATGGCTTTCTGAGTCCAGTGTGTGTAGGGAAAGTCTACATCTACGTGGGGGGCCCATTGCGAACTCTGGGTGCTCCAAGTTTTCCCCACCCCTTAGCCAGAGTCTGCACAGCAAATCGATGCTCCCCGTGCAGGCTCCCAGCATGTGCCCAGGTACTTGGGTGGGGGGGCTCTCCCCCCGGTTACGGCCAGTACTGACATGTAGGAGAGGCCTCACCCCGGGAGGCGAGAGCACCACGTTACCTGCATTGCGCCGGCACATGTTCATGTCTGCCACCTGCTTCCAAGTGTTTGTTCCAGGATCGTACACCTCCACGCTCTTCCTCACCAAGGGCCCATCGTGCCCACCAGTGGCATACAGCTGTCCGCTGAGAACCCCAACCCCTGAAAGGCAGAGCACAGCGATCCAGCCTGGGCCTGGCTGCCGTGACCAGAGCTGGGGTTCTGGCACCCGTCCTAGACAGCCACCACCAGCAGGGTGATGGGGGAGCTTCAGCCCCCTGAACCTCAGAGCCCTCAGCTGTAACATAGATAAAATGGCCCTTTGCGTGTTTCTTAAGAGTGTCAACCTGAAAACTCTGAAGTATAAAACATTTCTAAAGAAATAAATACGACCCCATTCTGCATAAAGAAACAGAAATATATATACAAATATGTTTTATGTGTTTGTGTGTATGTGTGTATCTCACCCACCATGACATACATAATCTGTACATGTCTATAAAGTGGGTAAGAGGTTCATAGGCAAAGGAAAAAAGTCTGAAATAACCCTACACAACCTTAAATTAGTTGTCTGTCCTCTCTTTTGCCTAGCTATATTGCCTGGTTTTCCTACAATGTTGTGATTCTTTTGTTCCTCAGCCTTCTATTAATTGAGTAAAGACAGTCAGAAATGGAAATGCCTAGGGCAGGTAGGCTGGGATCATGGCTGGAGGCCTCCCTGCTGGTGTGAAGGCAGCAGCTGGGGGGGGGGGTGGAGGGGTGAGGGAGGGGCGCAGGGGAGGGGCCGGGGGAGGGGACTTTCACCACTGGAGCACAGGAAGCACAGTCCCCAAGTTGAGGGGCCTAAGCAGAGAGCTCACATTGCATCATTTACAAATTTTAGTGAGACGTTTTGATATCCCTTAATGTAGGTTAAGGAAGGAAAAAGCCAGAAAGGACAATGGCACTGTTCCCCGGAGAGAGCAACTGACTGGTGGCCAGGATACCTGGGCTCTGGGCCTGCGTCTCTAACTCTCCAGGCAGACAGCCTCCTCCTCTGCAGGTCTCAGTGTCCAGTTTGTAAAGCGAGGGGGCTGGACTAGATAAGCTGGACCATAGGCTGTGCCACTGTGGACAGGCTACAGCTCCATCGGGGACACTTTTGAAAAGGCAGGTTCCCGGGGGCTCCCTCCAAGGTTCAAACACTAAAGGACTTGGGGTTTCAGACACAAGGACTCAATTTCAAGACTATTAACTTCATGGTCCTTCGAACAGGACCATGTTTGTCTTACCCACTTCTATTTCCCAGTGTCTGGCGTGAGTAGGTTCTTTTTTTTTTTTTTTTTAAGATTTATTTATTTATGCATACAGAACTGGGTTACAAGCAGGAAGTGCAGGGGTGGTGAGAGCATTCACCAGAGACAGAGTGGAGAGCAGAACAGGCAGATCAACGAACTACACTGCTGAGGGGAGCAGCGGGCAGGTCAGGAGAGGTCTGTCATGCATGTGGGTCACCTCTGGGGTGGGGATCGAACTCTCACTGAAGGCGCTGGGGCCAGCTTGCAGTGCTGCGTCCTAACCCAATGCGCCACCAGGGAGGGCCTTGAGTAGGTTCTTAAGAGAAGCCATTTGCATGACAAAATATGTAAAGATATGCTGATATGCCAGTAGTTTCCTTGCAGCTTCCCCAAATGAACAGTAGGTGGTGGTGTTGGATCACTAATCACAAGCAAACGCCTGGCATTTAATAAAATTCAGTGTGTGGAAGGTGCTTCCCCTTTCAGCAGGAACCAGGGCACCCTGAGGCCCTGAGGCGTCTTACCCACCACAGCTCTCTGCCGGTGCTGGCCACGTCCCCTAAAGAAGCCAGGGGCTTCCAGGTAACAGCACTGCTGCCCTTTCACAACTTGTCTGTAAAGTGTCCTGTGCCTTAGAGCCTCAAGGGCTCCTGGGGCCTCAAGCATGCTTCAAGAAATCAGAGGCCCCGGTGTCCAGGTCTTCGGACGTAGAAAAATGCCACCATGGCAAATATGTGAGCTCCCCACTCCAGAGATGACGCTTCCCCAAACCTTAGGGAAGTAAAGATTTAAAGGGAGGCTGACCTAGGAGCACGAGGCCCAAGCGGGCGATAAACCAAAGCCACCACTTCTGGGAGACAGACCACCACCTAAACTGTGGTCACAGGGCCCCCAAGGACACAGGCAGTGGAGTGGTCAGTGTCCATGCTTCCACTCCGGGGGAGCACGCCCAAGTGGGCCCAGCAGTCTCTGCTCAGCAGTGATCCCTGGGCAGCCGCCAACAGCAGCTCAGAACACAAACTCAGCCTGAACTTTCTGCGGCAGGTCTGTCCTGGGGTTCCATACAAGGCTGCTCCTCCATACCTCCCGCCTGAGATGCTTCTAGAAGCCACCACACAGCTCAGGGTGTGCGACCGGCCCCACTTGCCGTCCCTACATTCTGAGGCCCTGAAGATGCTCTCCCACCTCCAGTCACACAGAGGACTTTCAGAAAGCAAAATGAAGATTCTACCAGACTTTATAAACTAAAGAGCTGTATGAAAGGAGAAGAGCCTCGGGATGTATGCACTGAATTAGCCCCCAGCACCCAATTTTCACGTCTGGGGAATCAGAGACCATGGAGAAGGCAGGATTTGCTCAAGATCACATGGCAAGTCTGAGCAGACCCAGCACCGCAGCCCGGGCCTCCTGGCTTCCAGGCATTTGTTCCATGTTCAGAAAGGGCCCGACCAGTTGGGCAGGACTGGCAGAGACAAGCTCCTAAAAGACACATTCCAAACTCAAAGTTTCTTAAATGGAATCATACAGCCTTTTCTTTTCTAACCCATGAGCACACTAATATTCTTGAAAAAAATATTAAAATAGCATATATTTTTAAGAATTCTGAGTAAGCGGTCATATGTTTGTTACCGTAGAATGAGCTCACGGCTTAACCTGCAAAAAAAAAAAACAAAAACAAAATACAGAAAGAATAACACTGGTGGCGGGGGTGGGCGGACTTGGTTGTGGCTTCCCTTCCCAGAAGCCGCACAGCCTTCCTGCCAGGCCCAGGTTGGTCATCGGTCACCACTCCCCACAGGAACCAAGACAGAGTCAGCGTCCTGTGCCTGCCTGTCCTAGACCCTTTCCTCTGGGCCCCTAAGATGATGGCAGAAGACAAAGCAGGGAAGAGGGGGTTTGCTCCACTTCCTGCAAAATCCCCAAGGACTGCACAGCACTAGTCTTCCCACAGGAAAAGGAAGTGGGTCACTTTGGGGAAGTCACTTTTCCCTTGTGGGGGAGGGGGCTGAAATGAGGGGAAGTAGGGAGCAGGGGAGACAGACCCTAGTTCATCCCAAGAAAGGAACAGACTAGCAATAGCTTGAATTTCAAGACAAGAGACCCTAGATAGGTGAGCTCTGTCCACTGAAGATGGACACCGTGCTTATGGCAACTACTTCAGAAGGATGTATTACAAGTCTGAGAGTCAAAAGAGCTAACTTTGCAGACAGATCTGAGTAGGAATCCTGATTCTGCCAGTTACTAGTGATATGGAACAAGTTATTCAAACTCTGATCCACTTACATTCTGTGTCTGTTAAGTGGAATTAACACTGAATCTACAGTTTTAGTTGAGGCACAGAAAGTACATACAGGCCTTGTACAGCACCTTGTACAAGGCAAGATTTCAACTCCAAGGAACAGCAGGGAGAACATGTAGAGAGTATATTATCTATTCTCCAGCAAAGCTGATTCCCCAGGAAAGGTTCATCATCAGTGCTAGTGCTGAACTTCCAAAGTGCTTATATATATTAAAAGGAAGAAAAGGGAGGTAAAATGAGATTGAGGGTCGAGTTTGGTTGCCAGATGCACATACAAGCAGGTCAGAGTGAGCTGCCCCAAGGCCCCCCACGCACCCCAGTACCTGCACCACTGCGGCGGGTGCTCATGTCCGCCACGTACGTCCACTCGTTGGTCGCTGGGTTGTACTGCTCCACGGTGCTCAGGCACTGGCGGGAAGCCCCGTCATAGCCCCCAACGGCATATAGCTTTCCTGAAACAGAAAGAGTGGGTGAGGGTTGTGCCAGGGACCCCGGCGAGGAACCAGAGAACGGCCAAAACCCCATCTTTAACGCACCGGGGCATCCTCACCTCCATCAGAGTCCAGGGCACCTAACTTCCTCCAGGGACCACAAACTCACTAGCCAGGCTGAGCATCCTTCACACTCTGCTTGCTTCCCTTTAAGCCACAAGATACTAAGATGCAGTATCTTTCTAGATAAGCTCCCCAAATGACCAGCAGGAAGCTGGGTATTTGGTACCTGGGGGGGTCCAGTGCACTGATGTCAGACTTTAGGTCTTCAGAAGAAAGCACTGGAGAGCTGAAAAGCTAGAGGTGTCAGCTAGAGGCCGGCAAACTGGCATTCTGGCTAAAGACTCTTAGCAGCAAACAGAACAAATATGAAAAATTATTTTTCAACAAGAAACCCCTTCCTGCCCTTGCACGGTTGTGCTCCATTCACGGATCGGGCAGCGGAGGGGCCCTGTGTGCACTGGGCCTGGGGGCCGCGATGTATCTGCAGACTCCCTAGTCATCTCTGGGTTATCCACAAGAGCTCTGATGCACCATCACCTATTTTGAAAATACAAATACTATAAGCCCTTCTCCAAGAGCATCGCTCCTGCCTGGGGCTAAGCACTAGGAAAGGGCTGGAAACAGGCCTTTGAGCTGTCCAAAAGCAGAGACTCAAACGTCTCGTGTCTAACATCATCTTAGAAGATAGTAGTTGAGGGGGAGAATGTGTGTGGGGAAGCGGAGGAGAGGAGTCCTGTCTCACCTGCTTTGCAGGGTACAGTATAATCTTTTGGGGGACCATGGAGTTATATATAACAAGGATCTTAAACACTAGTTGAATAATGTATGTAACCACCCCAAATTCAAAACCACTTAGTAAGGTTATGTAATTAGAAATTTTTGTCATTACATACATTTTGTCATCTCTTTGTGAAGAGATAAGAGTGCATAACGCCTGTATAATAAAATCAGCAACTATTTTAAGTTAGAAAAAGATACCCACTCAAAACTGTATTCCACCATCATAACTATTTCCACCTCACATGTAGAATTATTTCTTCTCTTATCATCATGGAACTTGGTTTTGTTTTCTGCCCCCAAGATCCTCTCAAGACCTTCTAAAAGAAAGAGACCTCCTCCCTGGCTCTGTCCCCACCTAAGTCAGCTGGAGAACCCCTGACTCAGCAGCTGCCAGGGTCTAGGCCACACTCAATGTGTGCTCTGACTCGGATGCATCCACCTACCCTCCAGCTGCCCCTGCCCCACGGAGAAGGCCGGCCCAGGGTGGGGAAAGACTAGAAGTTCTCCAGGGCAAACCCAGCTGACTCAAAGCCTTATTCTTCTGACACATGATTTCCAACCTGTCAGGAGCTTCTGCCTAACAGTGCCTCTTCACTGTCCCTTTTCCTAAAGAGGGATTCTCCCAGGCCCAGCAGCAAATTCACCACCACACCCCGCCCCCCAACCCTGTCTGTCTCCCACCCCCATTATCATTCAGACTCCATAGCCACAGGGAAGGGGCAGCAAGAGGGAGGAGGGAGAGCCCACAGTGTAGCAGAGTTCACCTCTGACATGTTCACAACCACTATAAATTGAACTCTCTGCTGCCCCAGGATGACTGACCCACAGCCAAAGGTCTTCAGATCCAGGATGAGCAAGCAAATTCCCAGTCTGTCCACAGGGCGTGCTACTGAACAGCACTGCCTCCCCGCTAGGAATGTGCACGCAGGCCTTCCCCAAGGGGTGTGCTTTAAATCACCACCGCAAAGAAGCCTCATCTAACTGCATTAGCCATCTGACCCTGCATCAGCTGAAAACAGACCCACTCAGGGTTTATCCTTGAGTCTATTAACAGGGGGTTGCTATTTTAACCCCTATTCTATTGTTTGCTATTCCTGGCTAAGGGACGGGGTTGGGGGGGGGGGAATGGGAAGGAGGCGAGACAGAGCACTTACGTTTGGCAGAAAAATCAATTTCTGTTCCACCATGAAGATGAGAGGACAAGACACCATTGATCTTGGTAGGACAAAATCCTTGCACTCACTAGATGGCTTTTTCAGTATGTTAGAACACTATACTTTTAAATGAAAATTTAATCTCTACATACTGGTACACACACAGAAATGCAGTAACTGAGAAATAGGGTCTAAGTCACTGCATGTACTGTCTCCCAAAGCAGGTGTGTGTGCCCGCGTGGTGCGGGTGAGAGACAGAACAGCAGGTCTGTGGCTATATACAGATAGCGCAGCTAAATCCCAATTTGGGAAAAGGTAAAGAAACAAGAATGGCCCGCAAAAGAAAACATTTTAGTTCAAAGAAAAGTCTATGTTTTAATATGCCGAATTCACACATACTTATAAAATTCCTGCCTAATAGCCCTGCGAATGTCCTGAAGGGCTATAACATATAGAAAGGGCACTGAGCTAGGAATCAGAAGACCAGAGGTCAAGGACTTGTGCTCCTTAATAGGATCACACTTACCCCTCTTGGGACTCAGTTTTCCCAAGTGGTGAATGGAAAAAAAAAATCTCAGTCTTGCCTATGTTCTTCAGATGGGCTTTAAGGACAAAATGAGAAACTGGACGTGAAGGCTTTACAAATGACAGACAGACCTTCCCACTCACTCCCACCTCAGCCTCACCTTCTCTGGCTAGAGCAGGACTTAAGTACAACTTGCTCTTAAGTGTTCCTAACAGAGGAGGGCCCCCCCACCCTGTTCAACTCTGTTAGTGTTGAACATAAGAGCATGAAGACAAAATTAAGCACAATTAACTCACTCTGTCCACATTATGCTCCTGGGCTATACAGGCCTGTATGGCTTAATAGTGGGGACAATTCTGAGAAATGAGATTCTTAGGAGATTTTGTCAATGTACAAATGTCAGCGAGGACTCACACAAGCCTAGGCTGTCTGCGGGGACCACTGTCAGAGCATGGTACGTCACAGGCTGACACGTATACTGGCTCTCAACTGCCCACTCCTCTCCCTGGTGGCAGAGCGACTGGTAAGTCACCAAAGCAGGCTTCTCCTACTCCCGCCCAACCTAGCTGGCCATTTACCAGCCTTGGCCTAGAAGCTCACCTCTAAGTTTTAACTACCCTTCTCTGTTAAGTCAAGACACTAGTGAATGATTCAGAGCAGTGATGTGAGGAAGAGCCAGGACAAGACCTGTGGGCCAGGGCAGGGACAGGATGCCACCCTGCTGCTCCTTACCCTCCACGACGCCCACACCCACACTGCTCCGCCGCGTGTTCATCGGGGCCACAAAGAACCACTCGTTGGTCTTGTAGCTGTAGGCTTCCACCGATGCCAGGCCTGGGAGACAAGAAACTTATGATTTCCAAGGGGCAGGCCTAAGCCTGCTGGGCCAAGCAACAGTGAGGATGGGGACGTGCACAGATCTGGGATCCAGAAACCTGGGTACTGGCTCAACACCACAACTGCCTCACCACGCACAGTGGCCCTCTCTGCGGCATGTCAGTGTGTCTACCGAGGGGCCACTGAGGCTGATCCAGCGGGAGGGCTATGCCTACAGAATGGAATAAATGCCCAAGGCTCCTTCGCTGACACCTACAACAATCTCCTTGGCCTTTGTTTTTCCCCACCTCAGAAGTCAGAAAGCTGACACCCAGCCTCCCGAGGGGTGATCGATCAGTCAGCGAGGCCTAAGCAGAAGTCTGATGGCCAGTTCTGAAGAGCCTTTGCTTTCCGGATAGGGTGCCGCCCCTCCAGCTTGGTGCTCCCTGCCACACAATGTGTTGGCCAGCACTATCTCATGGTCAGGAGGATAAGGCCCAGAGACCATTAAAGAACATGGCCCCCAAATCCTTGAGTTACTAGACCAACTCAGCAACAGTCTCTGGGATTCTTATTCCATGCGTTTTGCACAAAATCTCTCATCATTTGTTTGAACCACAGTTTACTGAGATTCTCTACTGTAAGTGAAAAGCAATTCTTCAAAGCAGCACTGCCCCCACTATTGCTTCCATTATTCCTACTCCTACTCACAAGCAGCAGCCTCTTGAGAGGCCACAGACCCTAGAATCATGTGAGTAAGGCAAAGAGCAGTTTGAAAAAGGTGACCCACTTGGGAAGACACCGATAAAAATTCAGAAATACTGAAAAATAGAACTTTTCATGTTCCCATGGGGCCCAAAGGTATCATTTTGGTTTAATAGACATATACCTGGAGATGGGCGAAATGACAAAATTTCTCCAAGTCTATGTTCCAACTATTAGTTTTGGTTCTACCTTTGCAGGTAGGTGAAAACCAGGCGCCAGGGGTTCCCCTGCAAGGCACTGCCATGCAAGGCTCCATGGGGGCAGTGGAGAGAAGGCCAAGAGACCATTAAAGAGGCCACTGGAGAGGCAGGGAACAACGACTGTGTGGCCGGAGCCAGGGAGCTCGCTAGGGTCCAACCTCAGCTCCCTCGTGTGGTCAGTCAGTAGGGGACTCGGACCACAGTTCTCAGGCACCCTGAGCTAAGCACTCTCTTTGTCTCCATAATTGTGGCCCCAGACACTGGAGAGGAGAGAAGTGCCTCTTCTGGTAGTGAGGTCCTCCCAAGAGACTTAGGAATGAGTACACGCGGCAATCACACACTCTGTGTGTAGGCAGGCCTGGCTCTGACACCAAGCGCTGAGGCTGGGGCACAGGTATGAAGGACGGAAGCTGTGCTCAAGACCTGGCTGAGCCAGTCCAAGGTGCACGAGGTGTGTCGCCTGGGGCGGGGGAGCTGTCCTGCACCTACCAGTACTGCCATCAAATCCCCCCACGGCGTAGAGCAGGTCATTGAGGACGGCTGCACCCAGCGTGCTCCTGCGCTCCTGCATGCTGGCGATGGATGTCCACTGGTCCTTCACACCGTCGTACACGTCCACGGTCCGCACTCGTAGGGAGCCATTAAACCCGCCCACGGCGTACACGTGGCCAGCCATGAACACCACCCCTGAGGCACAGGAAACCAAGGCACCAGGGTCATCTCAGGCAAGACGTGTTGATGGGTGGCAGTGGAGTACGGCGGGAGTGTAATTCCCCGTGGAAGGTGCTCTCCAATTTTAGATATCTGGAGGTCACCGAAAGACTCACTGGATTTCTTTTCATATTTACTTCTCGACTTTTGTTGGACTCAAGCAAACACTTGAATTAGCTTCCACTCCCTACGTACATAAGAATGGATACCAGAGGGGGGCAGGTGGGGAAAGGAGTCTGCAGTGCACAGATGTGTGAGGAAACCAGGAGCAGTGTTGATTTCCACACCCAGCAGAGACCAGCGGGCAGGGCTGGCTGCGAGGAGAGGCTGTGCTGCTCACCTGCTCTGCATCTCCTGGATGGAAGCTCGGCGATCTGGTCCCACCGGTCCTCCTCGAAATCATAGCACTCCACACTGCGGATGGCCTTGGGAGCCTGCCCACCGACCACGATCATGACCTCCAGAAAGACAAGTGGACGTTACTGAGCTTCCCCAATATCCAGTTCATGGGCAAACAGCCCCTGTACCTCCACATACCTGCTGCCCGAGGTTACTGGCTGAGATGCCAGTTTCTGGAGCTGTACACAGGTAGGAGCTGGCCCCAGCCACCCATGGGTAGGAATATACGAGGAAAGCCTAATGAGCATCTCCCACGGAAGCATCATCAGAAGCTGTGAGCTTCCCAAGTGCCCCTGCTTGGGGCAGTGCTGGGAGTGGATGCTTCTCCTGCAATCTCAGTGCCTGCAAGGACTTGGGTGGGGTGGAGGTAAGGCTACATTTTACACCAAACACACTTGGCTGTATTTCAGAAAAGGGTGCAGAATTTGGCTGCATTTTTCAGACAAAATATCCCTTCCAAAGCATTTATTGAGATGTGGAAAATTTCTGTGAAATGCATTGTCGTGGTCGCATCAAAAATGTAGTTAACTGATGATGTTCTGAAGAACAGTGCCGTCCACACCTCTCCACACACGCGGTAGCTGCAGCTGCCAGCACTGTGTGGTCACTCGCTTGATACCACACTCTGTAAAGGAGACATTATCTCCCACATTGACAGATAAGCAGAGTAAAACGCAGAGCACGTAGGTGAATGGGCCAAGGTCATCCAGTTGAACATGGCAGGACAGAGATTGAGAGCTAAAGCCAAGTCTACCTGACAGAGGTGAGGCCAGACCCATGACACCACTACTCTAGAGATGGGGTCTGTGAGGACAGCCCATGGCACCTTCATATTGCAGAGCACATTTCATTAATGGATCATGAGACCAACTGAACAGATGTGACCAGCAGACTATCAAGAGGACATCACAGAAAGTGTAGTATATTATTTTATGAAATACTTGTTCTGGATACATACGCCTATGTACCATATTACTAATGAACATTTAAAGTGACGCAATTAACCCTACTTGGTATATTTTAATAAACCCATGCAAATTCATGGCTGTCTCCAGACTGACACCACTCTCCCTCACTGGGATCCCAGAAGGTGGAAGTCACAAGCAGCTGATACAAGTCACTGGCCTTTCTCAGTCCCTGTCACCTGCCCTATTTGACCCAAGCTGTTCTCAAGCTTCAGCGTGCATCAGAACTTCTATAGGGCTTGTTATAATACCAATGGCCAGGCCCTGGCCCCCGAGTCTCTGATTCAGAAGGTGAGGAGCAGTGAGAATCTGCATTTCTGACGAGCGCCAGGGGATGCTGAGGGGGCTATTCTGGGCTTCTTACCTGGACAGCCTCTGTTTTAGCCCCTGCGGATTGATCAAGAGCCATTAACAATGTCTGCATTATAGTGGTTCCCCCTTATCCAAGGTTTCACAACCATGGTTTGTGTTACCTGTGATCAGCTATGGTCCAAAAATATGTACAATAAGGCGTTTTGAGAGAGAGAGAGAGAGAGAGAGAGACCACCTTCACATGACTTTTATTATAGCATGTTGTTTAAACTCTTCTATTTACTATTATTGTTGTTAATCTCAGACTGTGCCTAATTTATAAATTAAACTATCTAACAGGCATGTATGTAAGAAGAAAAACACATTGTACATGGGATCCCTGCTATCCTCGGTTCAGGGTACACAGGAGGTCTTCCAGTATATGCCCTGCAGACAAGGGCAGGCTACTTGTGAATGAGTATGGTGCTGTGCACTTCCCCATAAGGTATTCTGGGAGAAAGGAGTGATCATCAGAGGAGTACATGTCTCCTGTGATCATGACCCACCACAGGGGGCAGCAAAACCCCCCCACCCACCCCCACCCATAACCACTGCTCAAGGTGAATCATACATGCCCCAGGATTTCAGGTCCAGGGTTCCCCTCAGGCCATGGGGGTGGGCATCGGCCATCAGAGTGAGTCCGCAGCTGTTAGTGCCCTCATGAGGCTAACGACTGATCAAAAGCTCAGAATTCTGGAATATCCTCAAAAGAACCCAGGACATACGTCTAGGCCTTGAGCTGCTCCTGCTTCCAGAAATAAACATTCTGCACTTGACTCTCCTTCAAGCTTCAGCTCAAAGTGTCCTCTGCTCTCTGTCAAGAGCAACCCTTTTCAGAGAAAAGCTGAAATCTACATACCTTCCCTCTGTGCTTCTTTGCTCAGAGAGGCAGCCACAAGCAATTCACAGGAATGTTAATGAACAGACTTGTAGCAAATTTTAGACAATTTCCAGCCTACTTCTCCAGGACTGAATGATTTATCCTATATTCATAAACTCACCTAGACTTGCATCAACCCTCTGGTTCTCAATAAAGCTAAAAGGAAGGCAAAATATTGCTGGTATTTTCTTTAAAATATAATTTTGGGGGCAGTGTGAGAATTAGGCAAGCTTTTCATTTTCTTTCTGCAATGTCCTCGGGTACCCTACACCTCACAACTGCTATTCCTTTCCTTGAAACTTTTCCCACATTCTAGTCTCTCAGCTTTAACAACTGCTTACTCTTCAGGTCTCAGGAGGGCCTCTCTGAGCTCCAAATCTGAGGTACAGGTCCCCCTCTGGGACCACATGCCCTATACTCTCCCACTAACACCACCCCACACTGTGCTGTGACCATCCGGTCACCTCGTCTTCCCTACTAGACAGTGAGCCCTGCTGTGGCAGAAAACTGACTAGGGCCTCACTTATCTTGTCAGTCAACAGTGAGGACTCATATATGTATCTGGAATAGCATGAAAGAATGAGTAAATAGAGCGTGCAGAGTCAAATGAAAAGAATTAAAGGTCAAAATGTCACTTTTTGCATTAACACATGTTGGAACAACAGGTTACAATTCTTACGAGAACACTGAGGAAAAGAAGACAATAAGACAAAGAGTTTTCCCCACTTTTAACTCAATCACCAGCAGATAAGCTGCTTGGTCTTTTCCTAAGCTATCAGGCCTCTTCTGTTTAAAAAAAAAAAAAAAAACAGGCAAAGCTTCCAAGGAAGCTCACCATGCCCCAGAAATCATCTACCAGCAGGGGCGGTGTGACATAGTCACACTAGAGAGAATTCAATGCGTGCCTCTGAGAATTTTCATAGTAACACAGAAACAGTATTATAGGAATGCAGTAAGTTTAATACTGAAATAAAACCTGAGCACAAAGACAAAAATAACACAGGAACAAAACTTTCAAAATAAATGTGTCTTTGAGGTCAGAAAACCACTGGTGAAAGACATCTTTTAATATGAAAAACTTGTAAAACCATCTAAAAATAATTCATTGTGAGGTGTGGTGGGTAGGACTATCTGATAAGTTTCTGGAAAGGTAGAGAAGCCTAAGGCTGGTATGTACCCTCTGCTTCCCTTACAGGCACAAGAAAACCAATTCGTATGGGCATCTTGCAAGGAGCCATCTCATAGGAAGCCTGCTCTCATCATCATCATGTAATCATGCAGAGGGAGAAAAAATCTCCTGTGCTCAATACTAGGAGATGGCTGTTTCCACAGATACCTGACCTTAGCAACCAATTAGACGGAAATAGGCATGCCCCGGGCCTCCATGTATTACATGGAAATTATAAACTCCTAGCTACTCAAGAAGACTACAAGATATGAGGGCAAAAGGAGACTTGAACTTTCCATCCCATAAACTGTCATTTCACACTTCCAGAAAAATTCTTGCCCAAACAGTTCAATAGGTATATTTCTTTATATCCCAATGCCCCCCATATTCCAATTTACTGAAGATTTATAAAGCCTTTCATAGATATGACTGAATAAAATGAGTTTATTTCATTCACAATCACTATTTTTAAAACTTAGCCTTTATGGTAACCCTGAGTAAGAATAACCTACCGGCTAATGAAATGGTTTTAGGCTAACAATTATGCTCACTGAACATAATGTGTTTCTTGCTTGAGAACTACCATGACTTTGGGAATCTCACAAGCACCTCAGAGTCCCTAGCACAAGTCTCCATAGCCACTGTGTTGTGGGTTATGGAAGTTCTGGGGGAGGTAAGGTTCAGGCTGGCAGAATACAGGTAAGCTTGACTCCTTCCAAGTGGGTAGCTATTGGACAACTCAGAAGGAAGACACTGGCAGTATGGAAAGAAAGACGGCCACTTGCTTCATGGAGTTTGTGTATTCATAGAAAGAATGATTCCTTAGGAAGGAAATTTCACTCTCAGCATAACAAAACAACTTTAAAATAAATATATAACACTATCTCTTTCACCTGGATGTTTTGGAAGCCACCGATGTGACTGTGAGAATGTGGGCACGCTGGTCCTTCCTCACTGTGTCTCATGGCTGTCATGTACCAGAGACAGGACAGGGGAACAGGCAGCTGCTGAACAGGACAGAGCTTTCCACTTCAAAACCCTAATCCTAACCCATCCGTGGTTAGATTCTCCTCGGAGGTGAGAGGAACCGCTTGGGCTCTGCACTCTTTTCATCAGGCAAGAGTAGAGTATGTGTCCAAACTCTCTTCCATGACCGGTGAGCTGGGCAGAAGGCAGGCCCAGCCAGTCGGTCCCTCGGGCCAGGGCAGGAAGCGAGAGTCTCTCTTACCCTGGTGCGTGGGGCCGCAGGGCTAACACCAAAAATTCATCCGAAGGAGCATGTCCAGGTCCAGGCAGATGACTTGTCCCAGCAGGTTCCTGAGCAACAGGTGCTCCCGACCAGGACAGATAGCTAAGGTGCAGAAACTGTGGGGCGGGGTGTGAGGGTGAGGAGGGGTACAAGACCCAGAGGAGAGAGAAGCAGGAAAATGGTCTTCGGAGTTTGGCACCCTGGGCTCAAATACCAGCCCAGTCGCCTAACAGCTCTATGCCATGGGCAAGTCACTGGGCCTTGCCGAGCCTGACCTTCCTCACTTGTACTAGGAAGTTACTCATATGGGAATCAGGAAACTTAAATGCTAGAAAGCACAGTGCTTGTTAAAAAATATACACTAAAATGCTAGCTTCTAATTTTAGATCAATACCAGCACCAAGCCAACTGTTTATAAAGTAGTTGCTAAAAAATAAGACTCCCAA